ATAAGTATTTTAACTATCTTAAAATACTGTATTTATTTGCAAGACTGAAAAGACAAATGGGCTTCATTTTAGAAAAAAAATATGTTCACTGGAATCATTTTTTGCTGATTTAACAAGACTAAAGTAAAATGGGTTCACACAAGTCAAGTGGAATAAGCCCTGCCTGGTGTTTGCTTTGGAAATGCAGCCCTTATTGTACTGCCAACCATCCCAATGCTGGAATGTAAGCAAGAGTGGAGTTTACAGAAAGAACAAAATCTTCCCAAGCTGGCTCCACACCTGAGGTAAGAGAAAGCCAAAACTGCACCCAAAATAGTTTTTGCCACCAGATATCCACACTAATATTTTACCGAAACGAATAAAAAATATGTAAGATGAGCAAAGCATTGCCTTATAAACAAAATGAACTTAACGGTTTCCCTCTCCTGAATTCACCAAACTCAAAGTAACTTTTTTAAAGTAGAAATCTGAAATAGCAACGTAATCATGTATCTAAAAATATCTAGGCCAAATTAGAGAACCAATAAAAAATTGGGTTTTAAGAAATAGTCTCTATAAAGAAAAAAAATTCCTAGGCAGTTCTTAGAAACATACCATGTAATGTGAAATAAGACAATATTAAAATAGACTTTGTAAGTAATATCCTGACTAAATCCCATAATTCCTATATGCTACTTTAAATGATACTGATAAAGACAATGTCTCTCAAGTCAAGCAGTAGCTTCTTGTCTGATTGGCTGCTTACATATGGCAATGCTCTGTGATGGGGTAAACAGCATACAACATGAGAAAAGGATCGGCACTGACTGTGAAGAAAAATTCTCCTCAAAGAAGTTTCCAGAATCCAGTAGCCAAAGGAGATAACACTTTCTCTGAAGAGTGCTGAAAGAAAACACTTGTGCAGAATTGCTCGATGCTGTTCTTGGAGCAATCTGAATGTGGTATTTCTACTGTTGAGGGAAAAATGAAATAGCCAAACTCATACCATTTTTCCTAAAAGTTTTTTCTTTAGAACACTACCTAACAAAGTGGGTAGCATAAAATTTCCAGATCTTAAAAACTGAAATTCCCAAATCCAGATGAACAATGGAATGACTACATTATGGCCAGGTACATGGAATATAACCAATAAAGTACACAGAATCTGAACTGAGGATTCTTGGGTGAGACATTGTGGAGCTTACACAACCTGAGTTTCTTCCTATCACGGCATAAATGTTATCACTTATACATATTCAATGGAACAAGAGATGGCTGGCATTTGTAACATATCCACTGTTGTAGAAGCTGTCCCAAAAACAGTTTATGGGACAACAGTGTTTTGAAGATAGGTATAAAGAAAAATGGAATCAAATCCAAAGAAATGAACTAGGCAAAAAGATGAAACAAAAAAGTCAACTCCAGAATAAATCACCCAAAGAATGACCAAGGTCCTGTATTTTAAGTCAGAACTTAATTTTATGTGGAAAAAATACTACATTTCTATTTTTCAAATTTTTATTTATAAGATTTTGTGCTGCTACCATGTAAGTAAGTCAAAGCTAAACAAGGGGTTCTTAAGTAAAACAGGCTTAACTAGCTGCTAATGTAGAAATAAGAACCAGGAACACAGAACAGAAATTTCTGTTACACACTTAGTTCCAGATCAGGATCAATGCACCAAGTTCTAACCTTGGTGACCCTCCACCCAATTGCTACTGTGCAGAAGATTGAGAGATCCACATTCTCTATCCCACTGACAAACCCATATGGACCTGCTGGAAGAAAAAATAAATCAGTTTTGACAGAGGTGTGACTGCTAGACTCTTGTCTGAACACAGGAATACATGGATGATACATATAAGCATTTGGCTTAAAATAGACTACATAAAAAAAAAAAAACCTCTGTAAAATTTGTATCTGAAAGTAAAAATCAAGGATGACTAGATTTAAAAATCTGTACAATAACCAGGCAGGAACTTTGGAAATGTGGGTACTCATTAAAATAAGAGTATAAAATGGTAAAGAAAAATATTTCTAATCAGGTTCTGGTCTGTGTCTATTTATATAGAATCTATTCACAGATATTTTTCTATGAGGGAAATGAGGTGCACAAGGAAAATCTTTCTTTGATTTTTAATTCTGAAATATACTATACACATGAGACTTTTCAATGATAGTACCATAAAAGAATGTAGAAATGCCAAGTCTCAGGCTGGTTATGGCTTAATAATAACACCACCTACCTCAAAAGCTTGTTGTGAGGATTAAATAGGATAACATAACATATGAAAAGTGCTTAGCACAGGGCTTGGCACACAGTAAACGATCAATAAATGGTAGCAACCATCACTTTGAATTGATGCTGAAAGCAAAGAAGGAATTGATATTAAAACTAAATTCTGCTCCATGTTATAAATTACTTTTTAAATCAATATGTATTTTTTGGTTCACACCATCAATTCTAATTTATTTAAAACAAGTATACATAAAATTAATTTATGAGTTATGACTCCTTCCTCTGACATACCTGTTAAGCAGAGCTACCTCTTTTTTTTCTTTTAAGATTTTATTTATTTATCTTTAGAGGGGAAGGGAAGGACAGAGGGAGAGAAACATCAGTGTTATGGTTGCCTTTTGTGCATCCCCTGCTGGGAACTGGCCTGCAGGGAACCGGCCTGCAACCCAGGCATGTGCCCTGACTGGGAATCGAACCTCGATTGTCTGGTTCGCAGGCCCACGCTCAATCCATTGAGCTACACCAGCCAGGGCTACTTTTCTATTTTTAATCAAGTTTTTTTTTTTTTACATACTTTCTCTTTTCTTGTTCATTCCTTGGTAGAAATATTAATATATAAGGAAATAGACCAGAAAGATAGAAAAAGGACAGAGTAATATATAAAATATTCTCTAAGACCATGTGAGAAATGGTCTTTATATTGTTCTGAAGTTCTCTATGCACTTGTACATATTTTTTAACCCTCTAAGAGTTCAGGAAAAGGTTATTATTTCAATTTTCTATATGGATAAATTAAGTATGGAGAATTATATCTTTACAGATAATATATGTGCAAGCATAGATAAAAATATAGGATACCATAAAATACTTGGCTAAACTTTGAAACAAGTGTGTAACCAGCTGGTGTAGCCAGAGAAGATGGTATCAGTTTATTAGCAGGGATAAATAAAAATACAAATGAACTACATATTAATGTAAATGTTCTTTTCTTAATGTAAGTAATAAAGCCTCTGGCTTTAAAAGTCTCTATCTTCTTCCTTAACTAACTGCTTCATTGAAGTCAAACTACACAACTGACTTTGAAAATTGTTGTAATTAAAACTATTATGAAGACTTAAAGATACACAAATTTTGGAAAGATGTACAACCCGTTATGGATTAGTTACTCTTTCCTTTGATTGTTACCTAAGAAGGCATGACTGGGTCCTCTCTGACACACCCACCTCACTTAATAAAGGGTCAGGATGATGACCATAGGCACCATAGCATATTGCCATATATATTCAACAATTAGCACATAGCAACCACCAAAAATACTACTATTGGTAAAAACTTAACATACTATCCTCAAGAATCTACTTGCAGGAGATAAGAATACTAACATTTGCAGAAGTTCATCAAAAAAGGTTGACTACATTGACTAAAATTTAAGAAATATATTACAACAAACAGCACTCAGAAGGACAGAAGGCAGACAAAAAGCAAAGCTGCGATACTGAATCCAATGAAGCACATTCACCTGCAGTGGTGCTGTGTGCATCATTACCAGCATTTGTTTTCAATGGGAAATTTAATTTGGTGTGGCCATATCTGAGTTGCAGAATAATATACTGCATTTTGGCAAAGCAAGGCAAATTGAAAAGAAAGATTTTTAAACTATAATGACTTAAAACATAAAGGTCTTGGTGCTTGAACACAGATTTAAGGCAGACAAACATAAGAAAATGTCCCTCTTACCTCCTTCCCATTTAAAGGTTACAGGACACAGTAACACTGAATTAGGACACAGGCAGAAGTTTATTTAATATGTAATACCACCTACATCCTGCTTCATACTTGCAGCACAATTTAACACATTCAAGTAGGCTACTCAAATCAATTCCAAACATCTGTCTACACCAATGGTTTTAAACTTTTTGAAATTATAACTGACCCCTTAAAAAAATTAAACCTCATGCAGAAATCTTATGTAGTATATAAAATAGATAAAGGAGAGATAGTCTGGTTGAAAGTAAACATTGGTAGCTTGGAGTTTTTCCTACTGCTTATTGGTGATTCCTTAGAAATCACAGTTGGAAAAACACTGAAATAATGTTATTTCAGCAATTAAATTGATAACAACTATTTAATTTAATGGAATGTTGGAGTCTAACAACTTTAATTTAATGGAATGTTGAAGTGATAAAATCTACCAATTCTAATCAGCAATTAAATCCACTAAGCTATATATACTCTAAAAATATCCACTAACAATTTAAAGGGACAATCTAAGGTTTTTACGCCATCATACTATTAAAGTAGAAAGAACTTGAAAATATTTTTACTTCAAAACTTCAGTCTAGTAAACTGAAGTCATGGCAGTAAAATGCTGCTCCTTATTTTTATTTCTTAAATCATGATTTACCTCAATTATAAATTAGGGTAGTCACATCAAAATATTCAAGAATAATAAAGAGTATTAAAATAGGCTTTACAGAAACCAACTTCTTTACAAAGTCTTGACCAACTGTTACATGACTATATTGGTCAGAAGAATTTTCTTTCAAAGATATTTTTAGAGAAAATTTGTTTTTCTTTTTAAAATTGGAAAAACTGTAAAACAAAAGAAATGAAAATATATGGTAAAAAATGCTTACTCAGAGTTCTAACTTCTCATATTGAACTTCACTTTATGAAAATGTAGCCAGTACAACTGAAGTACATACAATATTTTTGTAACAGATTTTTTGAATTGAGCTTTTTATAAAAGTACATTTAACTACAAAAAAGTAAGATTAAATACTTATAAAATATATTTACCCTGAAATGGTTAAGAATATAAATTATTGATGCTCATATTAATAGTACACTATATATTACACACATTATTTAAAGGTCATTTTCCTTTCAGTAATAATGTAGATAAAACCACAATATTTATTGCTTGTATCAACGTTAAAATCCAGATAGCCTCAAAAACAAATCCTTTTGATAAAGAATATCTCTCCATCTGATCATTTGTTTAACATGGATGAATACAGTTGCAAAATGTACCAGTTTTTAACAGGCATTAAAGTCTTTATTTTAGATCACCATTTACATTTTCCGGGCAGAGCCCTGAGATGTTGGGCTGAGAATGGAATATATCATTTATCTGGGTGGTGTCTATTCTACTGGTGTCCGTTTTGGGGGTATGAGGAGTTTGCTAACAGAAAAACCCTTGTGATTAACACAGCACTGTCAGCTATTAGTGCAGAAGCTTGCTGGGCAACATTGTTTTATTTATAGGATATTTTGATGAAAAAACAGTGTCCAGCCAACAAAAGCGCCAACCAAAATGACTGACACAAACCCCATCTTAGTGAGAATAGGTTGCCAATATAACCACCTTTTTCTTTTTCGTTCAGTCTCATTTAGCCTCTGTTTCATCTGCTGCACCTTCTGAGCTGTGTTAGCTTTTCTGTCTTCTCGAATTCGTTTCCGTAGAACACTATGAATAAATAAAAACAAATGGTAAGAAGTGCTTGGCAGGACCTAATAGAAGACCTAAACTCAAATATCCATCCTCCATCCCCAACACATTTTTCAACTCATTCAAAGGTTGAACTTTTTTTTTTTAAGAAAAAATTTGGCTCAAATAAACTCTTATAAAACTTCTCAAAATAATAATTTTTAAAAGCCTCACTATTCTAAATGGTCCAGACATGTATTCTGATAATTCAGTGACAATTTCTGGTGTAGTTTTACAATAATAAATACTTTTAGTAGGACCTGATTAGAAACATAATGCTTTCTTTCTTGAAATGTGAAATGATGACTATCAGTTTTCTTTCTTTCTTTGCTAACCAGCCAGGATTGGGAAGAGAACAGGTCCCCTAGCATCTGATCCCCTTTTGTGTTTACATTTGACTTTTGACAAAGGCCCCTGGTAAAAGCTGTCAACTTAGTATGTCCATGAATATTCTGTTGTGGGAGTACTTATTACTCTGTCCGTACGGATTTCTGGCTCCCATTTTCCTATTCAACACCGAACTTTTATTCCAGCTCAAGCTCTGATTTCCAAGACACATGGTCCTAGGATTACATAAGGAATGGCCAATGGCAACATATAAGTTACTAATGCCTAATTACAGCAAAAACTTAACCCATCTCTCTCTGCCTCCAAATTAAACTTTATCAGAGTACTTTTCCTAAAAAAACTTCACCAGAATGCTTTTCCGTAGTAGCTCTGATTGTGTAGCTTGATTAAAAATCTTGAATACCTTTTCAGTTTCTACTATGACATTAAGAGTCAACCTTTTCCTACCCAGAATATTTAACCTGAATCTAATAAAAAGAAATAATCAGAAGAATCCGGATTGTGGGGCATTTTAAAAGGCAAGTGGCCTAGAAGCTGTAAAAATGCCAATGTCAAGCCAAGGGGAAGATTAAAGGAGACTAAAGAATTATATTAACCAAGTGCAATGTATGACCCTCAATTACGGCTTGAATTAAAAAAAAAAAAAACAACTATAGAGATTGGGATCACAAAAATGTTCCAAAATTAGATTATGGTGATGATTATATAACTGTAAATATACTAAATCTATAGTACTATATTATATTAAAATACTACACTATACTAAAAATAGTATAGTATTATAGTAATACTATATAATAAAGTATTAAAATATTATGCTACACTATACTAAAATAATATAGGTCTATATTATTTTAAAAGATTTCATGTATTTATTTTCAGAGAGAAGGTAAGGGAGGGAGAAAGAGGTGGAGAGAAACATTGATGTGAGAGAGAAACATTGATCTGGTTTCCTCTTGGATGCATCCCAACCGGGGAATGATCCTGCAACCCAGGCATGTGCCCTAAAGCAGGAATGAAATGGTGACCTTTTGTTTCACAGAATCATGCTCAACCAACTGAGCCACACCAGTCAGGGCAGAACTGTACACCTTAAATGAATAGAGTTAGAAATATGTATATTATATCTCGAAGTTATGTGAATTTTTTGACAACTAGAAAAACATGAATATAGGTTATATATAAGATTATATTATCAATGTTAAATTTCTTTGGAATATTGGACATATTTAGACATTGGAATTTGGAATATTTAGACATTGGTGGTAGAAATGGAAAATGGGGTAGATGCTGTGGAAACCTATTCAGCAGTTCCTAAAATACTTAACATAGAGTTATCATATGACCCAGCAATTGTCCTCTAACATAGATACTCAAGGAAACTGAAACATTATGTCCATGCAAAAACTTTCTAATATTCTCCTGCTTTACAAAACTTTGTTCTAACCAACTGATTTTTTGTTCTTCTCCGAATTTGTTACCTTCTAATCCAGAAACCTTCTCTTCTCTCTGGTCCTTTCATTTTAGTTCTGTTCTTCAATTCTCCCTTCTCTCATCACATAGGACCCTTCTATTTTTATATTATGACATTTAATTTATGCTGCTAATCTGGGCTCTTATTTTATAATACATTAGCAAATTTTAGACTTTACTTTGCTTATCTCTGTATGCCCTGTTGAGATTTCTAATGTCTTTCTTAACTCTTACATAAATAGTTATCTTTGGCTGTTGGAACTCTGTCAGAATATTTGCTAAAAATAAATGCAAAAATTATTACCCAGCATGCACTCACTGAACTGAAAATTCACTGTAACAAATATGTGTGAATTATAATGTTTATCTAGTGTTCACATTTACCATATAAACCCAATAGGTGCTCATATATTTACGCTTAACTTTGTAATGTAGGTGTTGGCCAGACTCCCAGCCAAGATGGATACACTTTGCCTCCTCCTACAACCAAAAGCGGAACAACAAAATTAAAAACAAAAAAACCAACCAGAGCTGAAAGAAAATCAAACGGTATGGAAGTCTGGCAACCAAGGAGTTTAAGAAGAAACATTCATCTAGACAGGTAGGAGGGTCAGAGATGAGTAGCCAGGGTGGAGAGGACTTGTGGCAAGGGTATGGCTGGAGGACCAGGGTGAGCAAGGCAGCAGTTGATGGACCAGGTGGTCCTACATTTGCATGTGGATAAACCAGGAGGAACAACTAGGGAGTGAGACAGACCATGAAACCCAGAGCTCCAGGGCAGGGAAATAAAGCCTCAAAACCTATGACTGAAAAAACCTGTGGGGGTCGAGGCAGTGGGAGAAACTCCCAGCCTCACAGAAGAGTGTACATAAACCCATGCACCTGAGAATCAGCACCAGAAAGGACCAATTTGCTCGTGGTAGCAGCAGGAGTGCCCACAGAGAGCAGAGCAAGCCCCACTGTTCCATCTAGGGCCCCTCCCCCACATATAGTGCCACAACGCAGCCATGAGGGTTGCCCTGCCATGGCCAATACCTAACGTTCTATCACTTACTACACATAACAGGTATGCCAAGACAAAAAAATATGGCCCAAATGAAATAACAGATCAAAGCTCCAGAAAACATACAAATAAACAATGAAGAGATAGCTAACCTGTCAGATGCAGAGTTCAAAACACTGGTAATCAGGATGCTCACAGGAATGGTTGAGTATAGTCACAAAATAGAGGAAGAGGTAAAGGCTATGAAAAGTGAAATAAAGAAAAATGTACAGGGAACCAACAGTGATGGGAAGGAAACTGGAACTGAAATCAACAGTATGGAGCAGAAGAAATAAACATTCAACTAGAACAGAATGAAGAAACAAGAATTAAAAAAAAATGAAGAGTCTTAGGAATGTCCCAGACAAGTTTAAATGTTCCAACATACAAATCATAGGGATGCCAGAAGGAGAATAAGAACAGCAAAAAACTGAACACTTATTTGAACAAATAATGAAGGTCAGCTTTCCTAATATGGCAAAGGAAACAGACTTCCAGGAAGCCCAGGAAGCTCAGAGAGTCCTCCCCAAAGAGGTGGACCCAAGGAAGCACAGGTCAAGGCACATCATAATTACATTATCCAAGATTAAAGAGGAGAGGATCTTAAAAGTAGCAAGAGATAAGGAGACAATTACCTAAAAGGAGTTCCCGTAAGACTATGAGCTGATTTCTCAGAAGAAACCCTGCAGGTAAGAAGGGGCTGGAAAGAAGTATTCCAAGTCATGAAAGGCAAGAACCTACATCCAAGATTACTCTCTCCAGCAAACCTTTCATTTAGAATGGAAGGGCAGATAACGTGCTTTCCAGATAAGGTCAATTTAAAGGAGTTAATTATCACCAAGCCCTTATTATATGAAATATTATAAGGAATTATCTAAGAAAAAAGAAGATGATCAAAAATATAAACAGTGAAATGACAACAACCTCACAACTATCAACAACTCAACCTAAAAAAAACAAGAATGAACTAAGTAAACAACTAGAACAGGAAGAGAGTCCTAGAAATAGAGATCACATGGAGGGTAAACATTGGGGAGGGGGTTGGGAGAGAATTGAGGAAAAGGTATAGGGAATAAGAAGCAAAAATGGTAGATACAAAATAAATGGGGGGAGGTTAAGAATATGGGAAATGAAGAAGCCAAAGAACTTATATGTAGAACCCATGGACGTGAACTAAGGTGGGGGAATGATAGTGGGAGGGAACACATAGGACAGAATGAAATAAAGGGGGAAAAATGGGACAACTGTAATAGCATAATCAATAAAATATATTAAAGATACTTTGTTATGCAGCTGTTTGAGAGGATTTTTATGATTTGGGGGGAAATCAGTGATGGTTTTAGCTGGGCTAAGAGCATAACTTTTCCCATTAAAAATAACAAAATAGAGGCTCTGGCTTTCAAAAATGTACTGTATATATGTTTTCAGGAATGGAATGAGTACAAATACCATGGGATGCTATTACTTAGATAAACAATGCAATTCCAGAAAGGTAAAGATCACTCTTAATTTGATTTCAATAAAATCATTTTTGATACTTAGGCCTAAAGAAATTATGTCCATGTAATAACATGCCCAGTGAAACTTGGCCAAATTTTCCTATATGTTTATACAACATAGGCCACAAATTGCCAAAGAATGCCTCCTGTGGACCCTTGCCTATGTAAGACCATACTAATATGGTCTTACACCAGGCTACTGTCCCATACATGTCTCAACAAGTGTCCTTTACATACTATGCAAATACATAGGGGAAGAATCCAAATAATGTAACTTTTCATTTACCCAAATTGTTCTCCATTTTTATTGATCTGGGTTTATAAATTATACAACAACAGAGAAACTGTACACATACATTTAAATAGGTAAAATAGAGAACTTCCACCAAGATGGAGGCAAAAGTGGAGACGCCGTGCTTTCTCACACAACCAAGTTTAGAGACAACTAAATATTAGCAACAGAAAACACAGCCAGAACACAGAAAATTGAACTTTTCGGAAGTCTGACAACAACAAATTCTTCAGCCTGACTGGTAAGAGGGGCGAAACCAGCAGCTGGCGGAGCAGGGTTGCACAGGAAAACTCAGCCAGACTCAGGTGTGCGGAATCCAGGCGCA